AGCTTCATTTTTAGTATCTTGTCCTAATTGAACATTCCCAATTAATTCTATATCCCAATTAATTTTATACCCTTAACTACGATCTTGTCTGATTGGCGGTCACATCTCTTATTACACAACTCAATACCATTAAGCAATCTCGCTACACCTTTATTATCAAATTTAACGTCCCTTAATTGTTCATATATGTGGGCCTCTCTCTTTTGTAATGATCCCTCGAAAATATTTTTAATTGGGGGTCTTTTGTGACGTAATCGGTGGGACATCTTTCTTTGCAGATTGCAAAGAATTGTTCTTTCGTTTATGCTTCTGCAAGTATTCCCCTCCAGATTTCGTCTCTGTTCTTCGAAGGACTTTTTCCCTTTGATGAAAATTCTCCTCATTCGACGAACTCACCCCATTTCTATATATACTATCGACTTGTTGTTGACGAGTGGAGTTTTTTTATATTTGGATGATAGATTCTGCCGTTGGTTCCGGTGAGATCGAAAAATCTCAGGTTGGAGGTTTGCATTGTCTTTGTGCATTGAACCATGGCATGAAGGTGAGGGTTTTCATTTTTGTGGAGCTCCCTTGCGACAAGTATGTAGTTTGGCTGACAAGCTAGTTAGAGGAGGGATTGGCGGAGTTCTAAGAGTTGTTTTTTTGAGTAAGGGCATTGTGGGTAGGTGAGGAAAATATTCTTGGCATAAAAACGAAAAATGGCTTAGCGAGGCATTTTGTAATGAAGAATAGTGAACTCATACCGGCCGTACACTCACACCAGCCGTATAAGGCCTCCCTATTAATTAAAAAACCCGGTGTGAATGTAAGTGGTGTGACTTGGGGGGCATGACATTAATATTACCAGCGCCCACCCTCCCGCTGATCTGGGCCGTCCATTGTTGTACTTATGGACACGTGTATGGATGTGGTTAAAAGGAAGTCACACCCAGGCCCAGGTGTGAATGGTGTGAGTACTTTTGATTCCTTTGTCGAATAGTGCTATATATGTGTCGTGTTTGTGGTGGTTTGTGCGGTCGTAAAGATAAGATGATGCCAGATCGAGTGACATAAAGCAAAGGCGGGAAATAATTATGCTTTTGAATTATTTTGAATGGGGTATCTTTGTCCTTGCACGCAGGCCACTTTGGCTATATATTTAGTACCAGAAAACATTTTATGGCAGAGAGGAATATGCTTTTGCAGTGGGATAGCTATTGTGGTGACGTTGTTTTCTGGTATTTTGTTTCATCCCTCCTTTTTTTTTTGTCTTTTTTGTTGATTTATTTGGTATACAATGTTGTACTCCTTAGAAGAGTATCCCAATAATTATGGGCAATTCACTCAAATGTGTGTAAATCGCTTTTTGACTTGGCAAATAGGACTGTGTGAAGAGAGGCAGCGGTTAGCTGTGACGAAGTTTGTTCCGGTGTATGAGAAGTAGAGGGAAAAAATATCAAAGCTAAGGTGTCTGAACAGAAGGGTTAGCAGAGGTAAGAGAATCTGCGGAATTTTTACGATAAAAGATTTGGAGTGTTTTATAAAAAATGGAAAGAGGTATGAGCAGCCTGTATCGGACTTTCTTTGCGTACCGCTGGTCAAGGACACCGGCGGCCAGTGGATATAAGCGGAGTTACCGTGGTCGTGCATCTTTTAAGGTGGCGTATGTTCGCCGACAGTATGTTCAGAATATTCCCCGATATATTAAGAAGACTAAGAGAAGAGTGAGGAAGTTACAACTGTACGATGAACAATTAAGGGACGTTAAATTTGATAATAAAGGTGTGACGAGATTACTTAATGGTATTGAGTTGGGTAATAAGAGATATGACCGTCAATCAGACAAGATCATGGTTAAGGATATAAAATTAATTGGGAATATTCAATTGGGACAAGATGCTAAAGACGAAGCTGAGGTCCACCACATTTTGTTTTTCGTCATAAGTGATGATAGTCCGTCAGATTCCGTCCATACATCTGACAAGATATTTATTGGAGTTGGCGAGGGTAATCCTGAGACTTGGATTGTTGATCCTGACCAGTTCGACCGGTTTCGGATGCTAAAGAAAATGAGATGCAAGCTCGTTGGTGGCAAGGACAAAGAGTACATTCGTCATGGCATAGAAGTTGTGGACCGGTTCTTCCCAGTTGATGTTTAGAGGGACTACAAAGCTACGTTGTTGGGAAATGTTGGAAGTATTTAGAAGGGTGTCATATATTTAGTGACTGCTACTGTTAGTGAAAAATAATACAAAATTACTTTAAGGAGTCAAATGTGCTTTAAAACTATGTAGAATTGTAATTTTATGTATTTTTATTTGTAATGTTCAGGTTAATGGAGGTGGACGATATAAAAAATGGTGTTGTTGAAGGTGTTTCAGCAATTGATTTCAGTTGTATTGAACTTGCTCTGCCTAATTGATTTTCTCAATTGAGGTTGAGATACAAACAAAAGAGTATTAAGGTTGATAAAATATTCCCCTCTTTGCTCACCCAATGCCAGTAGGTTGGTCAGAGTAAATGTTTATAATTGAAGGTTAAATGGTAATGACAGTCTGCAGGCGTGGTTTCTTTTCCCTGTGAATTGTCAATGCGAGTTAATCAATTATGGGAATGATTATTGTTCAATTAACGACAAACAGGTGCCATGGATGGTGAAGTATCGACTTGAAAATTCGAATATTAAAAGGGAGATTTCGTATTATAAAATGAAGGGGTATCTGAAGTATTCTACGAGTGACATGCCAGAAGATCCACAAATGAGGGCCCCCTCTATTGTAGCGTTATCTAAAAAATATACGAATTGGGAGAATTTTCATCAAAGGGGAAAAGTCCTTCAAAGAATAAAGACGAACTCTGGAGGGGAATACTTGCAGAAGCAGAAACGGACGAAAAATTCTTTGCACTCTGCAAAAAAAGATGTCCCACCGATTATGTCACAAAATACCCCCAATTGAAAATATTTTCGAGGGATCATTACAAAAGAGAGAGGCCTCCATATACTAGCCCCTTTAATTCATTTTCTTTCTTAAATAAAGAAGTAAAAAAATGGGCAGAAAATAATATTTTGTTTGTAAGTCAAAATTAGTATAATACGAGTTATGTCAAAATTGCAGTCTCTCTGTTTACAGTGAAGACGACAACATTAGATTAGGGATACACATGAATAATATCCACGATTTATATAATGACGAAGAACTCTCCTCCTCCTTTGATAACATGAACCAGAATTGCGGCCCATTCGCCCAATCTCTCTCTACCTCGAAGGATCCTCAAGAACAGGCAAAACCACCTGGGCCAGAAGTCTCGGACGATACAATTACTTCTCCGGCAAAATAAGCTTCAAGGACTACAATCAAGACGTCGTCTATAACGTCATAGACGACATCAAATACTCGACAGTCCCTGTCGAATTAATGAAGAATTTAGTAGGTTACTAGAGAAACTTCCATGTGTTTGTTAAATTCCAACCAGATCTCACTATTAGAGGAGGAATTCTATGTATTATATTAACTAATGCGGACAATAGTTGGTTAGATGCAATGTCCCCAAAAATGAGAGAATGGTTTGATATTAATGTAACCACTGTCATGATTAATGAAAAAATTTATTAATTTTATTTATGAAACCACTCAAACTTTTATTTACTTACTATATTTCCCTTATCATCAACTATTACATTTTGAGTTATATCACTATTTTTTGCACTGATGATTACATTTCGTAAAATATTAGAAAATTCTACGGGGTCCATAACAATTGATCCTCTACGATCAACTTCCTCTTTGCTAACACCAACCTCCAAAATCGACAGAGCAGGTTCAACATCACTAGTGTCATCACCACCTCCACGTACATCAATCCCAGACAAACTCAGACGACCTATGCATTTATGAATAACTAAACCACTTTCCCCAAAACCTCCTAACAACAAATCTCTTCGTCTCTCCGGTAAACCCACGAACTTAGTTCGTGTTAGAATCGAAATGGCCTTCGTTGGAGGATAATGCCAAACATCAACATCTTCATTAGTATATTTTTCATATAACACTACAATAGAGGGGGCCTCATTTGCGAATCTTCTGGCATGTCACTCGTAGAATACTTCAGATACCCCTTCATTTTACAATACGTAATCCCCCTTTTAATATTCAAATTTTCAAGTCAATACTTCACCATCCATGACACTTGTTTGTTGTTAATTAAACAATAACCATTTCCATAATAGACTAACTCGCATTGACAATCCACAAAGAAAAGAAACCACGCCTACAGACTGTCATTACCATCTAACCTCCGATCACAAACATTTACTCTGACCAACCTACTAGCGTTGGGTGCGCAAATGGGAGAATATTTTGTCAACTTTAGTACTCTTTTGTTTGTATCTCAACCTCAATTGAGAAAATAAATTAGGCAGAGCAAGTTCAATACAACTGAAATCATTTGCTGAAACACTTTCAACAACACCAGTTTTTTTACCCCTTGAAATTTGATTAAAATATAAATCGTCCATTGTAGTTTTGAAAATTACATTTCACTCATGAGGTTTCTAATTTCATAACAAATTATTCATTTTATTAATTATTCATCAAATCAATTAATAATTTTTAATGATATTAGAAATATATTTCAATTAACAATTTAAATAATTTTATTATTATATAGGAGAGTAATTATAAATTTTAATTTTTTAATTAATTCTGTTAAATAAAATTTTTTAACAAAAAAAATGTTTGTAATTTTTTAAATTACAAAAAACAATCAATACTTTAAACAAACTTGATAGGATATATTTGTAATTTGGGAAATGATAGAGAGCTCTAAATATAAAGCTCTAATTTTAGCTCTAAAGATGTGTCAAAGCAAAAAAAAAAAAAAAAAAAAAAAAAAAAAAAAACAGAACAAAACAAAACAAGGATGGGACCCACCTTCCCATTAGAGTTATTAGAGCTCCTATATTATAGCTCTAAAGCATTTTTGTTGTAATTTAGCCGAGTAAATATTCTCCAAATTTTAACACCTTAAAAATGTAACACGTGTCAGACAACAAATTCACCGCCAAATCTCTCTCTCTCATCGGATCTTATCTGTATCTCATCGGTGAAAACAGGAACGATCGGAGAGCTCGAGCTCGATCTCGATCGTTACAGATAATTTTTTTGTTCTAGGGTTTCGATCAATCGCAACCATGGGCGGCGGCGGAGCCATGAAAGCTGCAGCGAAGGTGGCCGGAATCACCGTCGTGAACGGCGGTCTTCGTGGCGTCCCGTCGGTATCTCCGGTGGAACATCAAGTCGCCTCAGCCACTCATAGAGCCAGTCGTCCCGTCTCGTCTATCGTTGCTTCTACCGAAGAGGTGAATCGGAGCGTCTTGGCAGCTGCTCAGAACAATCCGATCGACGCTGCGTCGCAGAGGCCGTGTTGGGAGCTCGACGACTGGGAGTTTGCCGACGGAGTCGCAGAGACGATCGTGAATTCCGGTGAGCCAATGCCGAGACTTGTATTTGGTGGTGTGCCGACTCTTGAGGAAGCCAAAGAAGCCACTTCTGAACTTAAAGAGGCTCTTGACAAGTATAATAATACTTTTCGTTTAAGTTGTATAATTTCTATTAATTTTTTGTTATATTCTCATCAATGCGTTTCGATTTCATTGTTTGAATATGCTATATTGTTGATATTGATTCAGAATTTCTACAAATTTTTGGGAAATTTCAATCATTTTCTCTGAATGAATTCAACAAATTTTTGTTGTACTCATCTGCATATTTTCCAGGGTATATCTGTCCTCACCTAATTCTAATGGTTTTGGTCATGAGTCTGATTTGCCACTGCTTTCGAACCCCAAATACCCGGAGACTAAAGCTTGCGTTGCCAGTGAGGCCACAACATTGTCGGTGCCAAAAAATGCTCTTAAAGCATTTAGGCTTCTCAATGAAAATCCTGTAGCTCAGGTACTAAGATGAACTCTCGCTCTCTCTCTCTCTCTCTCTCTCAGGTACTAGGATTATTTGGAACATAGTTACTGATGTTTATACATCCTTGTATCTTAAAGTATTGAATTGCGTGTTTAAATGAACTGTGTGGTTAATGTATGTGTTCTATAAGCCTAGTTTCAGCTACAAAATTTTATAAAGATAATTTGACGGATAAAATTCAAACATAACTTGACTGTTAACTTCCTCTTTTTTGGAATATGATATCTGATTCTGGTATTGTGTGTAGTCTGTTGTTGTTTCAATTGCTAGTGACCCAAATGTATGGCATGCTGTATTGCAAAACGAGGCGCTTGTGGATTTTCTCCAGTCACATAAGAGCAGTAAGAATTGTTCTTTCTGTTCCCGTTTGGCATTTGTTACATCAAAAGTGTCAACTGTCATGTAATTTGTGCTAACAGGTCCAGTCATGGAAGAATATGTTGCAGATGCAAAATTTATGGATAATCAATCTGCAAAGAGCGTTGATGATTCTTCTGATTCAGGGCAATTTGCAGATTCTGGAAATGGGTTTATGGGTTTTGTGCAGGGTATAAAGACTACAGTGGTTGAGATGATGAGCAGCTTATCTGATTATTTTCAGAATCTTTTTGGAGGTCCAACACCTGAAAAAGTATCTACGGAAGCTGATGGAAGTGCCAGAACATGCTTTGTGGATGGAGGAGTTGTGGGGGCGTCTTTAATAGGATTGGCCGTCATGGTTATGATGGTGGTGGTGCTGAAGCGAGGTTAGGCATCATTTGTTGGTAACCCATCCATGAATTTGCCGAAGCTACAAAAACCTCTAATATTTTTCAATTTCTTGTTTGAATGCACGGATTTATTACTGGATTGTTGGTGAATAATGTACAAATGGAACTGTCTTTCTTATTGGATTGATAATGTAGCCAGATTGTGAGAAATTTTTATTAAGTTTCTATGCGCTGCTTATGGACCGCGTAATTGGCTTTGGTTATGTTTGGATTTCATAGATTTGAAATCTGGGGTTCAAAGTCTCTAGGAACAGTTCGCCCGCAAAACAAGAAGAAAGTTATTGCAAAGATAAAAGATAGATTAAATTTTAAATTGACACGATTTGAACCTTAATAGTTTCAGACAAATAATTAGAATCTTATCAATTTCCCCACTAAAGTTGGAACGCCAAATTTAATAAATTCAGTTTCTCTCAACAGGAACAATCAAGCAGGCATTGAGAAGGTTATCCGGTATGATGGACTGTAATTTGATGGAGAATTTGTAGAGAGAAGGAAAAAGTTTTTTTCTTTTAATAAATTTTATTTTATTCACCTTTTCATTGTTTTTTTCTCTCTCGTCATATCCTGACAAAAAAGAGATAAAAAGGAAATTAGTGAATTGAACTGCCACAACAAATGCCTGTGATCTGTCACATTATCACATATATTCAAATCAATAATGTTACCAGTTTGCCAAAATGGGGTCTTACTCTTGGAGTTGGGTCACACAACTTCCTCCACTGCTCTTAAGGGCTAGTATTTTATTAGCCACCAGTTGCAACAGCTGGGAAAACCAACAATGGCATTGCAACACTACAATTCTACAAAATTGAATAGCTGTATCAAGTCCATGACGAACTTATGGACGATAAATATGAATCGCATCCAACTTCGGTTGTTTATCTATGGCCTGATCGATATTCTTCCATGCCTCGGTAACTATGGTCCTGTATGAAGATGACTTGCTACTAATTTCTGCTGTTTAATCAAATTTCACTGCCAACATACATAATGTCTTCTTTTGATATTTGCATCTTGCCTTTGTCTCGTCTACTATTTACTCGCTTCTGCTCCGGCTGGCCTCGCTGCAACAAATAAAAAAATTTCATCCCTAACACTCTGTTTGGTTGGGGGATTTGGAAAGGGATTTGAAAAGATAAAGAGAAAGGAGGAACTACATACAGATGAGAGAAGGAAAAAAAAAATTACCAATACATAAAGGGGTGCCAGTGACATTTTTCACCCTCACAGTCTTTCATTTGCACCCCACCACAGACACCTGGCACCCCTCGTATATTAGTTATTTTTTTCCTCATTTTTCACCCTCACAGTCTTTCATTTGCACCCCACCACAGACACCTGGCACCCCTCGTATATTAGTTATTTTTTTCCCCATTTTTTTCCTCTTCTCCCACCTGTACGTAGTTTTCCCAAAGAGAAAAGGTAGGTGAAATATAAATAAAATATACTTATATTTCATCTAATTTTACATACATTTTCCCTTTCCTTTCCCTCTCCCTTTCCAAATTCCTCCCTAAATCTCCCAACCAAACACAAGCTAAAGGTCACAAATTTTCACCTCTTCTGTGTCAATTGCACATACAAACTTTTTGACACACGAACAAACTAAATAGAGTGAAAAACAGTAATAAATTCCATGTTATTCTCAACAACATGCATGAATGTAATCCTTACCTTCCTCAATATAAATGCCAAGTATAAATAAGCTACTTCCCACTCATCTGGTGTTAATGTACCTGGACATTACAAGCCATCATTTTAATAATCAACATTTCAAGTAGGGGAGGGAATTTTCCAAATGACATGAATTAGCGACGAAGTTAGCAGATTGGGGTTGGCTAATTTTTTACACTAACTCAAATGTAACACGATTTAATAACACAAAAGATAAATAGGTCAAGTTAGTGTCAAACTCACATATTTCGAATTTGATATGACTACCTTTGTGTTGTGTTTGGATTGACACATTTATAAGCAGATCAGGTTAGCATCAGGAGGATTTTTGACGCAATTAGTTAAATAGGTTAGGTTAGTATTGAGGAGATTTTCACACAAACTTAAGATGACACAACACAAACGCGATCTAACACTAGGGTAGACTGTTGCTAGGCAAATTGGGAAAAGAAAAAGAACAAGAAAGAAACAAATAGAATGGAAAACTTACTCTGCCCTTGGTTTCCGTCACCCAAGGCACCAAGCCTACGCATGAGCTCAACAAAATCTGGTCTCTTCAAGTATTCATCCACAAATACATGCGAATTTTTCACAAAAACTAGCTCCAAATCATACTGCATAACTCATACAAGCAAAGCGTATCTATCAGACTTATTACACAGCTTAATGCTAAAAACTTTTACATGTTCATCTAAAATGAGGCTGTCAAGAGAGCATCACACAGCTCAACAGGTTCTAAACAGTACAAGGGAAAGACATAAATTTGCATTTGATTGATGGGGCACTATTACTCATTTAAAATTTTTCTCCCTCACGGTAATATTCAAGATTGCACTATTCACTCAATGCATGACAGGACTACCTTCTTATCCTTTCTAAAAACATGAGCTAATGCGGCCATCCCATGATGAAAGAACAAAAATTAGTATGTTTAGAGGACAGTCTAGCACTTCAGTTGTTGCCAATCCAAAGTATATAGGCTTTTTCACACCACCATTTCCGTGTTTAAAAGAAGAGATGACCACTTTTAAGTAGACAGAAGGGATAGACTAACATGTATTAATGCACCAAGTAAATTTATACCTCTTCTGCCAATGATTTGAAGACATGAAAAGGAACAATCCACTCTGGACAATCAACAGCATCCTGCAGGAAAAGGTTTGGTGTTTCAACATATTTGTGGTAGATCTAAACATAAAATGCAGACTTAATATAGCAATAGAACTGTACGATGGAATAATATACAATAATCAAATGAAGAGAACCTAGAGGTGTTGCGATAAAGAGTTGCAGGATGAGAACTTTTATTTTCTAGCATGGAAAATCTACGAAGTAACACAATGCATTATTCTTTTTAATTAAATCTAGCATAGAGCCCAAAGAGGCGAAAATTAAATACATCAACTACAACCATGGGCCCTATTTAGGAAAATATAACCAACTTCAGACACAGAAATCAGAGAAAGGAATGGTTACCTCAAGGTGGAACTTGTATTTTATACCAAAGGGGCTTGAAGATTTAAATTTCTGAACCCAAAAACAGAAATAATCCCTAATTGTCAGATAGTGTCTCCAATGGTAAAATGAAAACAATAATGACTAATACCCCAGAGATCTACATGTACGAGACAAAAAAAAAATTACCTTCTCAGAAAATTCTTCATCAAAACGTATCCAGTAAACACTATTACCAAAAACCAGTCCTTTGGCTGCATACTCACAGAGAAAATCACATCAACCAGAAATTGAAATAACCGGTGTAACTTGCCAACAGTTTCAACACTTGTATTCTAAAAATCAAGTAAAGATCTTTTGGTTCACACATGCATATTATCTTGTTCAGAAAACAAGAAGTTCATAACAATTAGACCTTTTTTAAATTAATCAAATTACTTGACATAAAAAAATTGAAGGGAGAAGACAATCGATGATTATGAGTGACAGGCAAGATTCTAAAAAGCGGCCGCAACCATTACGTAACGCCGTTACGTAACGGTTGTGGTAGTTGCCGTCACCCGTTACGGCCGCTTTTGCAGTGTGATTGAGATTCACAGGTATATCGGCCGTAGCGGTTACTATAGCGGTCGTAACGGTGCCGTAACGGCCTGTTACGCACTGTTACGTAACGGTTCCAAATTGCTTCTTTAAAAAAACACACACACAAAAAAAAGTTGAAAATGGGGGTAGAGAGATAGAGAGCAAGGTTCTGAAAAGCGGTTGCGGTCGTCGTAACGGTAGCGGTGACGCGGTTGCGGTTGCGAGGTGTAAAGGCCGTAGTGAAACGGTTGCGGTAACCGAAACCGTGAATTTTTTTATTTTTTGCACAATTTGAAAAAAACTTACCGATACGCATATTTTTTTGCGGCCGTAACGGGTGGTGGTAACTGCCAAAACTGTTACGTAACGGCGTTACGTAACGGTTGCGGCCGCTTTTTAAAACCTTGATAGAGAGAGAAGAGGAAAGATGGAGGAACAAGAGATAGAGAGAGAATAGGGAAGATGAAAAACATGTTATTGATTTGTTGAAGTTGTAAGACCTATGCTATTCTATTCAGCTATTATCACTCAACGATTTTGTTTGTGTGTCTATTTATATATTGTTTGAAAATAATAATAATAATAATAAGTGTGGTCATTATCTATTTGGCTTGATTAATATATATATATATATTTAGACTTTTATTTATTCTCTTACTTTTGTCATTGTTTATCTTATATATAATAGTTAGTGATTATTTTTTGTAAAATATAAAGTCATTAATTATTAAAATAAAATGTAAAAAACTCAGTTTATAGTGATTTAAAAATATGAAATATATTGGATCAAACTTAAAAATTTATAAAAATTGATCAATATTTATTTTAAAACCTAATAAATATGATCATGGAAAAAAAATGTGCATATTGGTAAGTTTTTTTCAAATTGTGCGAAAAATAAAAAAATTCACAATTCCGGTTACCGTAACCGTTACGCTATGACCTTTACACCCCGCAACCGCAACTGCGCCACCGCCACCGTTACGGCGACCGCAACCGCTTTTCAGAACCTTGGTGACAGGTCACCTCATTTTTCTTCCACTTCCCAATTATCTCATAAGCAATTAGTAATGGTTTATCAATAATTATCAATTCTAGTAAATTGACTCTATTTGTCAATTAGCCCAAGTTTATCCACCCCTCAGTAATTCAGTCAAATTCATCTTCTATAGTAGTTCATGCGCAAATCTGGTATTTGCGGATGCTGGAGGGTTCATAAAAGAGCATCAACAGACAACATTGACATAAACACCCATGATTGATGAGGTTTCTTCTCCATGTCAAAAGTAAGAATTGAGGTCTTGTTTGGTTGGAAATTTTTCCAAAATCACTCTCTCTTTCCTACACATCAATCAATCACTTTTCTCTCTCATTTCTCCTTCTCAATTACTTTTTTCTCTCACACACATCTACTCAACTATAATAAAATATCAAATCATCCCAAACTTCCATACTCCAAAACTATTTTCAAAGTATACAACCAAACAAACCAAAAAAATTTCTAAACTCTTTCCTCAAGATTTTTTTTGAAAATTTATCTCCCAAAACCAAACCAAACACACCCTAAATCTCTAAAAAAATGAAATTATTACGGAGTTCAAAAAAAATTGCTAGAGAACAAGGAAATCTAAGCCGTAGAAAAGCCTCTTGTATCATCTGACCATTTTTTTTTTGTGGTAGGTATCATCTAACAAATTATTCTCTCTACTAAAGAGAGACAGAAAAACAAAGAGGAAGAAGAAAGAACATAGAAAAGAAGAAAATTTAAGGATAAAAATGAAATGAGAAAACTTTAAATTTGTTAGCTAACACTCATAAATAATGAAAATCTTTAAATTTCAGTTAAGGCTCAAAAGTTTTAACATTTTTGTAAATTTGCAAAAAAAAAAAAAAAAAAAAAACAAAGAAGAGAGAGACATAATAAAAATCAAGACCTTCTCTAAGCTTTTTGATGATAACATTGGCATCAGGCATTGTTCCAATACAGATGCCTCCTGGACGAAGCAATGCTGATACATTGGCCAAGGCCCGACGTGCACGTGCCTCAGTAGACCATGAGTAATGCAGGGCAAACTGCAAAATTTCAAGTTTTGATGGTTTTCATTATAATACACTGCAGTTTGAATAACCATAAATAATCCATAAATTGCATAAAAAGAAAAAGAAAAAGCATTTCCTAAATTTATGCCCAGAGTAGCTATTTGCTCTTATTAAACAAATAACATAGCGGAAAAATAAAAAGTTACAAAGTAAGACTAGTATTTTAAATTTCAAATTTTAGAAGCAAAAATGCAAGGATACCTGTATTTCACCACAAGAGTTTTAAAAGACAATGAAAAAATTGAAAAGAAATTGACCAATGCAAAGAACCCTGAAGTCATTTACTTACAAGAGTATTGGAATTCCCAAGGTCAAATGGCTATCAAAAGATCACCCCAATCTAATGAAGACAGAATAATAGCTAGCTGGACTATTTCGAGGAAGTGCGGTTTTTGAATGGTAAAAATCTTCATAGACATCAGCTAAACGATTCTTTTGCCTTTTTTACGTTCTGTCTTGCAAAGTCTTGTTGCTAATATCTAATTCCTAAAATAATAACCAAGCAACAGATAATGTCTAGCTACACCGAAAACACTACATAATATGAAACTTCGATGACAAGGAAAGATGCCTCTCAGCCCATGACTGGATATTAGGTATCCCAACCCAACGAAGAACATTTAATTGTTTACTCCAACATCAAAAGAATCAGTCACCTGGCTACTACAAACATCAAATGGTGCATCTTCTTCCAAAACTTTATCCAGGCGGACCTGATAACCAGAGACAGAGATCAGAAGCCAGAATTAAAATATTTTTTTCCAACAATTGGATTCAAGCTAACTTTAATCAAGGTATTTGTTCAGTACTAATATAATGGACAAAGCAGCTCATAAGGTCATTAGTTTTTAATGTAACTTCGGCTTGCAATTAAGTGATTAAAATATAAAGTACACCAGCCAAGTAAATTCCAAGTTCCGGACTTCATCAATATCCCCCAAAACTCAGCAGGACTATTCATCACATAAAGTCGTGCAAAGTTACCTCATAGCAATCTCCACATATTAGGCGTGCAGGGAATGTGAACTTTTTTCGACGTTGATGATGGTCTGCATCGCCATTATAGCGTGCACGACAGTCTTCTATCTGTACAAAATTGTTGAGAACAATGGATTAGAGGCTAATTTCTAAAATAAAAAATATAGCCACCCAAAGATGACAGAAAGTATACTCCTGCAAACCAATGAATAATCAACCACTAGGCAAACATGAACTTTCAAAATTTGACGTTCTCATACTAAGGGGAAGAGCAAAAAAGAAAACTATCCAAAAAGAATATATATAGCAAGAGCATGTAGAACTTTGGCTTTGTGCTAAGCTAAAGGTAGCAGCAGGTGACAAGATGGAAAGTTATTTAAAATGGTCCCATCATGTGAAATAAAGAGAAATGATTGCACTTCCGAGGATTTTATTTATTCAATTCACTCATTTTAATTTTAGGTAAATTGAAGGGCCAAAGGCCTTAAGAACCATAACAACCACAAGAAATGTAATTCCACCTGTCCACCTGGAGGAAAGGGGCCAAGTCCAGTGGGGGTGTTTTGAAACACTTGTACCAAAAGGGAAATATAGAGTGTCACCAGCGGCATAGTGATTGGTCTCCCAGTGAGCATGAGTGAGCTGATACTCATTCTCTGAAGTGTCTGCTTGTTAGGTCAGATTTTGATAGATTTCGTAAGGGAGGAAAAAAAGGCAATATACATGATAGGATTGGAAATAGTAAATAAGAGATGAATCAAGAGATAAAAGGAAGGAAATGGAGTTCTAACTCTACCACATCAAGGTGCCAAATGCTGTGTTCCTGGCCAGCTATGTTAGAGCATCTCCAACGGTAGTAGGCATTTTACCTATCTAAATATTACTATAAAGTATATATTTCATTTTGCCTATCAACTGTTTTATGTTTTTACTCCAACCATGTTCTTTATTTTAGCTATTTATCCAAACACTATTAATTTTATAGAATGCCACGTCAACAACAAAGATGGAGGGAAATGATCCTAATGATTGAATACATTTTGCCTAGCGTTGAAGGCTAGCTACATGTAGCTAGTGAATATGAGTTGAGCCAAAATGCCTAATCATATGCCTAGTGCATTGGAATTGAAAAAAATGAGTCACACTAGGCATTTTAACTAATAAGTATTATATGCCTAGTGCATTGGAGATGCTCTTACACGGACTCTTCAAAATAGATCAAATACCCGTGTCGGACACCCGACACTCGGACAAGGGTATGGGATATGTGTCGGATACTTTTCAACGGATACTTCTTATATAATTGTATATAACACAATTATTATATGCGCATATTATTGTATAATTACTATAAATGTCATTTTGACACTATAAGTTACATATAGTACTATTTGATTTCACATATTAGATTAAAAATATAAAAATATAATATTTTTTTTCCGAGTCTGCGTACCCTTAAATTTAAGATTTAATAAGTCCAACCTGTAGATACATACCCGCACCCGCACCCGACACCCATACCTGAGTCTATGTAACATAGCTGGCCAGCCTTCAGGGTTGCAGGTCGAAATAAGGATTTAAGGACTTTTTTTGAACTTTCCTCACTAGCCAGAAAAGGATATAGATAAACTTCTTCTGAGAGCTTACAACATCTCTCCACATGTTTCTCATTTATTGGCCAACTAAACTCAGTCCTAGAAGAAAAGGAAACATGCTGAAATTCTTACGAACTTCATGTACAAACTTATGTATACCTTGACTGTGTTTGCAACATCACCTCATGTTTTAAAGAGAAGACATTTAATAACATGTCTCCTTTGTTTGTAAAGTTTGTTTGTTTTTACAGCATTCCTCGAAGAAAAGGCACAAGCAGCTAGTAATGAATGGCCTAAGAAGGCTTCCCTATTTGCGTGCCAGCTGGACCACAAAGAATGAAAGGCTTGAGAATTTAATATAGGAATTTCAACAAATATATAGCGAATGATCAAGCACCTGCGTGAATACACTTTAACATAAATACAAAATGTTCATGAAAATAGGAGAGACAACAGGACAAAAAGGCAATGAGCATTAATAACTTACCGAACCTTCAGCTATGTCAATGCCAACATAATATCCAATCTTTGCTTTGTCCCATTTGATTAAATCTCCGCCCTAGCAAATGTTAAAAGAAGTCCAAGGAATATCATTAATATGCACATAAACACACCTACATATACATATGAACATTATAAGGGACACATAGTACCTTGCCACAAGCAAGATCAACAACTGCGTCTCCTCGACGAGCATAAAGTTGAATTAAGACACTTTTAATCTGTTCAAAGAAGCAGAAATAGAAAAGAAAAACATAAATTAACTTTAATAGTTTAATCCTTCATGTATCATATATTCTAAAGAGAACAACAATGTGTTTGAATTGATGAGACTGAAAGGTTTACCCAGTTGTTAAGTTTCTTTAAATGGATAATAGGACTAGCTTCTCTCTCTTCTAGAGTTTGATTCGTTCTTGCACTGTAATGGTCAGCCACTTTCCTGGCAAATATCTTTGTACTCTCATCCTCCAGAAACTGTGCATCGCCTGACCATAACAAAAGAACAGATTACGACCAAAATTCAACATTCTGTTTGGTTCCTAAGAAAATGCAACACGACAATAGACCGTCAATTTTCCCCTTTTCATAAAATATACTTCATGTGAAATATATATTGATGTATATTATTGATTGATATATATTGATGTCTATATTACAAGATTGTTGTGTATATTGGTAGATTACAAGCTATTATATAGGAGAGGATTAGGGAGTAGGTGAGTGGTGGTAGTGGATGGTAGTGGAGGTGGTGGGTGGTAGTGGAGATGGTAGGTGGAGTTGGTGGTGGGGTAATTTACACAATTTACAATTTACATTAACACTTCAAAATAGAAAGATGCAGAATGAAGTTAAGATTCATAATTTTAATTTCATTCAGTTTCCTCTGCTTTCTCACCATCCAAACGGAAGGCAAAAAAAAGGTCCAGCAATTAACAGATTAACCAAAACAATCAATCTATATTTCCGCAAACCCACAAATCAAAATCAAGTACAAAATGGATTGTTGATGAAAACCCAAAAAATACATTCTAAGTTGTGTCTGAATTTGGATTGAGGTGGACCGAGAGAGGCCGAAGACGAAGATTCTTGGTATCCTCTCTTCATAGCCAATGATGTAAATGGTCCCTCCTCACTGACTAAAGGAATCTGCAAGTTATGAGAACGAAAGAGAAGTGATTGAATGTTGTGATTTTAGATTGAATGTTGGGTGTTTTTGGTACGAATAAGATGGAATGAATGGAGGGAAAATTTAAGAAAGTTAACAAAAAAGGAGAAAAGTGTTCAATTGGTGTAGAAAGAAACGTATACGTATGTATTTTGGGTTTCGTTGTTGCCTTTGCACCTAAAAAAAGCAGAGCACATTGTCCAGATATACACATACACCTAACCCTTTGCGAAAGCAAAGCGCCCAAGGTTTGGTGGCTGTTGTTTCTAAAAGCATTCCAAATGAATAAACAGTAATAATAAGGTTCCGTTTGGGATTTATTATTTTAGTTTATTTTTTATTTTTTAATGAAAAAATATATAAAAAATAAAAAGATTAATATGATAATTTATAATCACTACTTAATTATAAATCCAACTTTACAAACGGAGCCTAATTGTAAGTGTTGAATCACATATGACTTTCTTACATAATATAATATATATTAATGTATAGATCTTTGTGTAGATTTTTTTTTGTTTTTTTTAACGTAAGAATGTTATATATGATTTTGCATTCAATTTATAAACACCTAAATGAATTGTTTAAGTAATGCTACATTTACTATTAGTATGATATTTTTGTTCATCACTTGATATGTTATATCTCTATTAATAAAAATTATTATAAAATTTATTGTATTATAATTGTGTCACATCAAATAATTAAACAGTAAATAGTGTACATTCACTTCATCCCTCATAAGTGAATTTATAGAGAATTCTAATCTCACAATATCCCTTGTAGAGATAAATTATTTAAAAAGTATTATAAATACTAAAATAAGACTCCTCAAGGCATAATTTTATTTAAACTATTGTTGTCACCATCATCTCCATTCTCTCACATTGCTACCAGCTATTTTCACTCATATCTTCCTGTATAGCCACCACATTTTCTTTCTTTGACTCTCTTAACCCGACATCACCTGTTACTACTAAACCCTTTTTCATTACCATTTTTCACACTCCACCAACCCTTTCTTCCCTACATATCGTGTTACTATCTTCTCTCAAGTGCAACTACCACCTCGTTCATTTTCACCTCACTATTACCCCTTCTCATTCCCCTTTCCCACACACTACCAATCCTTTCTTTCCTAGCTATCGTGTCACTTTCTTCTCTCAATTGCAACTACCCCCTCTCTCATTGTCACGTCTAGTTACTTTTTCACCTCCATTTGCTACCCACCACTGTTACCCCTTACTCTACCACACCAACCCTACTGCACCCTCCTTTCTCTACTTTTTCCCCGCAATCGCTTTACAAATCTCCATTGTCACCCTTGACTGCATTCGCCTTGTTTGGTTTGTTTTTTAAAAAAAAATTTGAAAAAAATTCTCTATAAATAAATTTTTAAGAATAATCAAATTAAATAAATTTTTTTAAAAAAATCTCAAAATTTTGTTTGGTTACCTACTTATCACTCTCTCTCTCTCTCTCATACACTTTTAATCAATCACTTTTTTTAAAACTCTCTCCTCAAAATAATTTTCCAAAATCATTTCTGAAAAAAAAGCAAACTAAACAAGTTTTCGTACTTTTTATCTCAAAAACTACTCTACAAACACAAACCAAACACACCAAATTTATATCTTTTATTTTTGACTTTTTTGGTCTTGTTCATGAATCTTATTTTGTCAGTGAATGGAGATTTATTATTTTTTAATAACCTTTTGTCTTGTTCATGGAGATTAATTGGAAGTTCATGAATTTGGTGGTGAGTTTTTTTTTTTTTTGATGTAAATTGTAAGCTTCTAGTGACCTATAAATAGTTCATCACATTCACTTTTTTTTACACCAACTAATTTTCTATACTTGAGAGATTACTAGTCAAAGAATGATGTTTTCTTGGTGGAACTTTAGGTTTACCATCTTGTGCAAAGTTGGTCTGAATCATACGACAAGTAGCCGGGCTGTTGTATCTTGGATGAGACAAGTCATAGTTTAGTGACTGTTCATCAGTATTTGAGTTCTTCCTACCACAGTGGACTTGATATCTTTAAAGAAAACGAGATATCTGTGCCTCAGCCTGATCTATTTGTATCTCATTTTTTTATATTATTTATCAATAAAATATAATTTTTCTGGTATTTTCACCAATAATTTTAAGGAAATCAACCATGGAACAAGTACCAGAAAAAACAATGATGGAAATAGAGATTTCAACAAGCCTTTTAAGTTCAAGGGAGTTTATTTTAAGAGGTGGAAAGGAAAAGTTATTTTTTACCTCAGTTTTTGAAAGTTGCATATGTTTTTACCGTAAAGAACCCAAGTAAAATCCCAACCGAAGAGATGAATGATGAAGACTAAGAGGCGCATGAAGCAAAAGTGGCTTTTTACAATACAAATGAGTATAAATGTCATTTTTATCTCTTAAATTGCCTTACTGATTAATTTTATGATTATTACTATGACACCACTTACACTTTGTCTTCTATTAATTTTTAGCATGCTCGCTTATGTCATATTAACAGTAAATATATGGAAATCATGAGTAGTTTAAGATTAACTCCTAAAATGACAAAAAAAAAATTGAGAAATGTGAAATTTGCAGTAAAGCAAAAATTACTAAGAGGCCTCATAAAAGTATTGAGAAAAATACCGAATTGCTAGAATTATTTCATACTGATTTGTGTGCGTTTGAAGGAATTTTAACTTGGGGTGGTAACCGATATTTTATCACTTTTATTGATGATTTTTCAAAATACATAAACGTATATTTATTAAAAAATAAAACTGATGTTTTTGATAAATTTAAAGAATTCCTTCTTGAAGTGGAAAATCAATTCAGTAAAAAGATTAAGAGAATTAAAAGTGATAGAGGCTGGGAATATGAATCTCTATGATTCAACTCTTCATTCAGTCATTGGGAATTATTCATGAGACTACTCTACCATATTCACCTTCATTTAATGGTGTAGCTAAAAGAAAAAATAATTGACTTGACGAATGCTATACTTATTGATTCAGGTGCTCCCTCAATTCTTTGGGGTGAGGCTATTTGATAGCTTGCTATGTGATAAATAGAGTGCCACACAAAAAGACTAAAATTGTACCTTATGAGTTGTGGCGGGGTATAAACCAAATCTAGGTTATTTGAGAGTTTGGGGTTGTTTAGCTTTTGTGAGGCTTGCGGATCCTAAACGACCTAAATTGGGTGAACGAGCTACCACTTGTACTTTTCTTGGGTATGCATTGCATAGTACAGCCTATAGATTTTTTGATATGGAAAAAATATTATTTTTAAATCAAGTGATGCTTATTTTCATGAAAATAAATTTCCTTTCAAATCTAGAAATAGTGGAGGTAAAATAATTTCTAAAAATATTTTATCCACGCCTAGCTCTTCTACTCCATCTCAAGCTTTTCAAGAACAAGAAAACTCTCAAATCCAACCAAGAATGAGTAAACGAGCTAGAGTTGAAAAAGATTTTGGCCTCGACTATTATCTTTACTGAAAAACCTAAGTGATTTATGATTAGATCAAGATTTAATTGTACCAATTCCCAAACGATTAAAACTAACAATCTAAATCATCTAGCGCATACGCAAATGATTTAGATTGTCTCTTCAAAAATAATAAATCGACACAAGCAATTTTTATGTGGAAAAAAATCACAATTGGAGCACCTTCAATTGTGATTAAAAAACCACGGGTGAAACGCAACAAATCAATCCACTGCTAAAGAAAGAAAGATTACAAATATATCAAACAAATTACCCAAACGCAGTCAATTTGTCTTCAACAATTTGTATATCTTTCACTGCAACCTTCGTCTTGGAATTGATCAGATTGATGTTGAATCTACAACATCCATTGTCGAATCAACGACTACGCACAGCATCAAACTCTTTCGACTACTCTGCGCTTGAATCTTCGGATTCCACCGAAGAAGAACTCTCTTAAGGATGAACAATCAAACTCCTTGATGTGTGCTTATCAAAATAAGAGTTTAATGCTCAATCAGACATCAAGGAAAACTAGCAAAACAACCCCAAAAGAAAACCCTAAATCCCTCAAAGAAGATCTGAAAAACATCACCCTAAAACTGACTTAAACAAATACTTATAGAAAATAGAGGCAGCGAAGGTCGCTCGAGCGAAGATTCTCTCGCTCAAGCGAGGAACCAAATACGTGTGTTTTCCTTAAGTGGTGTCGCTCAAGCCAAGCTTCCTTCACTCGAGCGCACAGTCTTCCTTCCTAGAATATTTGCAGACATAGACAAATTCTGGGAGCAGGACTTCTTCGCTCAAGCCAAGACTTCTTCGCTTGAGCGAGCAAGGCAAAACAACCAAGAAAATTACAACTCAATAAACAATGTTTGTTCATAGAAATTGACAAAACTAAGGGACCTAACAATCTCCCCCTTTGTCAATTCCTGGACAAAACATTCTAACACGGTTTCCTAGAAAACATACGCACTAACTAAACAATCAACCAAAAAAAAACTCATCTAAAACACCAGCCTTGACGAAATACCCTACAAAAATAGATAATCAAAACATGGGAATAGATAGAGTAATCAAAAAATCAAATCATCACAAGAAATTATGAATCCAGACTGAATCAAGATCCCAAAAACTAATTAGGCCACTATCAAAATCCAATATCACAGTATGAAAAAGTAAACCCAATATCACATTAGCAAAAAGTATACTAAGAAGACTATATCCTGAAATCGAACAGTATCTCTCAAAACTATATACCCAATTATCATGCAAAAATATATATACCCTAACCAGCATGAATGCCAAAAATAATACTCCCACCGGGAGAGACACAAGAAAAAGAAAAGACACCTTAAACACAAAAAAGACTGTCCAAAACAAAACATAAAAAAAAGAGCGTCACTGCAATTTTGGTGGAGGCGGCGACTACATCTGTAACAAAAAAAGGATATGGGCAAGCATGGCGCTCTGTTGATTGAGGCGGCCATCAAGTGTATCGAGATGGGCATCCAGCTGATCAAGGCGATGAGTGATCGACTGCTTGAACTACTGCAGCTGTCCACGAAATGAACGAGGACACAACTCAGGGGCACCAGCAGTGGCTGCATCAATCTTGGCCTCCTCAGTAAGTGGATTATCACCTGCATCAGACACCCGACCCCCGAAAACCCCCCCCTGACATGGGCTTGACTCTGTGAGACGGTCAGTTTGGTGATAGGTTTAATGGAAGAGGCAAACTTGTCATCATCAAAGGTGG